AGTAGTGTTTTTTTTGGTGGTTGAACCCACTAAGATTATATTCCTTATATAAAGTACATTACCCCAAAAGGAGGATATAATCTTACTCTATATTGGGTACCATAGTATCCCCAAATAAAATACTACTGAATTGGGGGAGATGTGGGGAGTTGTCTAAACTATGGTCTGTGCTCGGGTGCACGGAATCATCATTGGGGGACGTACTATACAACTTTTGACCACCTATCGTATCTAATGTTCCCCAAGAAGAAGCACAAGAGAAAATAGCTGCCCTACTAGTACTTACAGCAGTGGGAGAGCCTGTTTATCCCGAAACATTTGAGCAAAAATGATGGTCATGCTTGCCTTGCCTGATCACGGGTTGCGAACAAAGGCTTTTTTGAAGTTTAGTCCTGCCCCTTCTAGGCACATAACGTGCTACAAATTTATTTTAGGGGGAAATAATAAATGCAAGACATTCGCCGAATTGGCGAGAAGAGCAGTTGTTTCCGCCTTGTCACAGAATAACTCTGAGCTTGACGAAGTTTGATCTCCACATAGCTACCAACGACAAAAGCTCTACTACAAAGGATACCTTTACAACAGCCGCGGCCGCCCTAGGAGTCAGAATCCAAGCTCCCGTTTCAGTGTGAGGCTGCAAGGCTTCTGTGCGCTGAGCGCGAGACCACCTTGATGGCCACATTGTCGCCTGGCTTGAATTGGCAGCGTGCAGTGTTCCTGAATGCAAACAAATATGCTCTGTTGCTGGTCATACAGCTGCGGGCCATTTTCGGAAGACACCTCGCAAAGGAACCCGTCCTGTATAGCATAAGCATGGTACCGAGCAAGACCCAACCAGTCTTCACGATGAAGAAACAGCTGCACTCATGTAGAGTGCCTGGTAGGCTTTAAACTTGCAAGGTGGCTGTGGCACTCTTCCAAAAATGCTCTTTGCTAACCAGCCCCAAACGGACAAGTGGTGGCTGGCACAAAATCTGAGCACACAGCGTCTGGCTGTTCACACCCCTCTCCGACCAACCTCTCCTCAAAGGAGGCGGTCTGTGTGCTTAATTCATGCAAGGAAAAGCTTGCAATGTGCTTGCAGCACGGCAGCTACAAAATCTGCTCAAGCCTCTAAGCAATTGGACAGTCAAAAAAAAACCTACGAATCTTTGCACTACGCCTGGAGCTGACGCTTCTTCCAAGGCTTTTCCAGGCTGGCAGCGGCCTTGTCCAAGGCTTCCATGTGGGTATCTGCCTGTGTCATGACATGGTGGAGGTCGTTGCCAATAGAAATAAAAGGGAACCCTTTCTCCAAAAACTCCTTCACACGGTCGGTGCCAAACAGGAACACGCCAAGCACAACTGCGTTCTTCTTGGCTGCCTCAATAAGCTTGCCTGTCATCTCGTCCAGCTCAGGGGAAGTGTACATCTTGGGGAACTCATACTTCTCAAAGAGGCCTGCGCTCATGCAGAGGTCGTTCTGCCCCAGGAACAGGAGGTCCAAGCCCTTGACCGCCGCAATCGCATCGATGTTCTTGATGCAATCATGCGTCTCCACTTGAAGCGCCACGATGACGTTCGCATTGGCGTTGCCTACGTATCCCAGCAAACCCTTCTTATTCGTGCTTCGCTGCGGAAAATACACGGAGCGAGTTCCCTCTGTCGGGTATTTGCAGCAAGAGACGGCTTGCTTTGCCTCATCGGCAGTGTTGATGTAGGGCACCAAGATGCCGTCTGCACCCAGATCCAGGGCCTGCTGAATGCCCCCACGATCATGAGCTCCAGCCACCCGCACCATGGACTTGGCCCCGCCGCTGTGAATCGCGCAGAGCATGGATGAGAGCATCATGGTGTCCATCGGGCCGTGCTGCATGTCCACAAGGAGCCAGTCATAACCAGCGCAGGAGAGCTGCTCTGCAACTGTAGGCGAGCTGGAGTTCAGAAAGAGGCCCATCTTCGGCTTTCCTGCCCGGAGCTCCTCCTTGAAGGTCTTACCGGACTCATCGGCGATGGACATGCTTCTTCTCGCAAAGATCTGGGCTAGAGATCCTGGACTGAAACCAAGGCTCTTGCGGCTTGAGCCAAATCTAGGTGAAGAGCTGGGCTCACAAATTCCGAAAGGCTTTTAGCATGCCAACGACTCCACAGAGCCCGTCAACCCTGACCTGCACCTACCTTTCCACCTGAGAGCCTTGACTCAAGGCCGTGCAAGGGGAGTTTGCCTCACTTGCTTTTCCCTTAATGGGAGAAACCCTTATATACAGGAACCCGTACTTTGATAGAATCCCCAAAAAATAAAACCCACATGATTCGGCTCTGGGTCTCTCACCTGAGTCGTCGTCCTCCCCCATGAAAACTTCCTGAGAGAAGCCCAGTGAAGCATCTAAGCTGGGCTTTGCACAAGCATGCAAAAGAAATGGCTAGTACTAGTACTATTAATAGGAACAGTACTAATAATACTAACAGTAATAGTACAAGTACTAGGAATAGTAATAGTACAAGTACTAGGAATAGTAGTGGTTGTGCAAGACAAAGTGGACTTGATGGACCCTTGGCAATTTGAAGCTGCTTATGGTGGTGTCTCTCTCTGAGAAAAGCACTTTCTGTGCCCCCCCAAACCCTAAATCGCCCCTCTACGGGGTTGCCATGCAAAGGCCCTAGCTTGCGAGTCATGAGGCAGCCATCTACTCATCTACTCAGACGATCCTGGCAGTTGTCAAGAAAGGGAGGCCCTTACTTCCATTATTCTGAATCTAGTAATGTAAGGCTAGGCCTGCGGAGGTTCGTGAAAAACAGGGCCCAAGGAGGGCTCAACAAATCATGCCAAAAATTCACGGCTTTAAAGCCCAGATGAACCGAGCCCCAAACGCCCACAATCAGCAAGCTGTACACGGCGCTGCTCGAAATAATCTCCCCACACCTAGCATTAAAACCCCTAATTACCCCCTAACATTGACTCTTCCAATTCTTGTATACCATAGAGTATGCATATACATATGTATATATGTGGAAAATAGGTTATCTTAGGGCGTCAGGGTTCCAGGTATGTTTTACGAGCAGGGACTGTATTCTTTTGGGTAGAAGCGGCCGCAAGACAGCTAATTCTAGAATTTTCTCCCAATCGTGAGATTTCCATACAAGGAGGGCCTGGATCCGGCCGAAGGATCCACAACATAACAGCATGATAACCCTTAAATTAAACATCCCGGACTGTCTGAGGCCCACAGTGCTCCCAGAACCATGCTGGATATAACAGTTCTACATAGCTTCGTCGGCCTTACCTATAATGCCCTAAACCCTTAACCCAATGAATCTCTAACAGGGCCCAAGGGGCGCTGTAGGAGCCAGAGCCAATCTCGCCCCGCATTCGGAAGCGGCCTCCAACCTAGGATTTCGCTCGTTTGGGAGTTTCTCAAAATAGGGCGGCCCCTGGGAATACATGGGGGCTATAAGAGGGATCATGAGGATCCTCATGGGGGATCATAATGGTGGTTGTTCTGAGAATAAGGTCTAAACATAAAACCCAAAGCCCGCAACCTGAAACCCTGACTGCTATTGCCTGAATCCCTGAGCCCCACATGGCAGCTTCCATAATCAAAAAGGGGGCCACACTATAGACTCCACAATACCATAATATTGTACATACGCTCAACCCTCAGGGTCCAGCACCCAAATATAGGGGGTCTCGGTCCTGTAAAGCCTTAGTATTTGGGCAATTGGACTATTAGGGCAAAGGGACTCCTAATTTCCCTAGTGTTGCGGCTGAGGTCGTCACCATCCTTGGCAAAGGCGGCGGATGGATCGACGACACTTCGGAGGACTCCTCCTGGTCTTCAGGATTTGAACAACAATAAAAGCAGCAACGAAGAGTGATCCCTAAACCCTAAACCCTAAACCCAAGTGATAATAAGAAAAATAGTTCATGGTCCTTAGGGTTTGAAGCGCTAGGGGTCTTGGATGCTCATGGTCTTTGTGGTGTTTTAGGATTGCTTTGCTCTACCCGTTTAAGGGCTTAGGGGACTTGGGGGTCCAGGAGTCTCAAGGGTTTAAATGCTTCTACTATGATCCTTGGAATGGATCCCTTTAGTTCCTAGGACCACGGTTTAGCTTAGGGTTTAGGGTTTACCCAGGGGCTATGAGCGGATCAGATGGACATGTATCAAGGATGACTGAGGATTGAAGCAAAATTTCACCCCAATTCGCACATGTGAGACTATCATTCATTCATTCATTCATTCATTCATTCAATCATTCAATCATTCAATCATGACAGCCATTGGGTGGGTCTCTCATCCATGCTGAACTGCATCTCCAACCAGTTGCTAATCGCAGCCCCACTGCGTAAAGCACCGAAAGGACGGTCACACATAGTAGCCCCTGAAGTCAACTGCACAGCGCAGCTACGACACAAGAGGCCGCTACGTAAACCTGTACACTGATGCGGAATCCAGAAGGAAAAAACATGTTGACAGCAAACAAATGGTGTGTGTGTGTGTGTGTGTGTGCGTGCAAACACTCGTGAAACCGGGAATCATTGTAGTTTTGCCTTTGAGGTTCCGAATCTCCAATCGCAGCATCGGTTTGACTACCGACCCGCCCGTTGGCCTCAAGAAGCAAAAATTGGAAGGCATCTCCCTGTCAACTGGTCAAGAATGTGCTAGATCCGCAACCACATGCGAATCTTGTATTGCTTTTGGGTTGCGCATGAGCATGAACTGGGATGTACGCAACAATGACACACATATCTGCATCCCCTCGTCGCAGCCGAACTGCTCCCAGACGGCCCTGATACTGCCAAGGCGGAGTGTGGACTTTCCGCACGTTTCTTTCCCTGAACGGTTTGCTACAGACTGCAAGCGCGACTGCGTTTACATCCCCACTCAAAAACAGTGTGCGTGCCGACTTGACATCGCTCAACTGCATGTTCTGTGCTTGTTTGTGTTCCGTGCAACCCCACAAACGAATACCATTAAAATTAAATTCTGAAACGTTGCTGGAGACTGTTTAAGGGAAAGTGGATTGTAGACCACTGCCGTCCATGTCACCATTGCCCACACCAAATGCGCAGGCAGACTAGCAACATCACATGGAGAGAGTCGGTCAGCTGCTTACAAACTGCTCACATGCTTATTACATCGCCGCGGAATCTTTTTTAGGGAGACTATCATGCGAATGCGGTTGATGTTAAGAGCTGCACGGGAACATGAGAGTACGACCCCTATCTTCTTGACCTGTTTGCGGACTATTCACTGGTGGTTAGTGGGGAATGATGGCACATAGAATGCAGGGATCATTGCAGAGAAATCTATGGTGGATGGCGCAATGATTGATTTGGAGAGGGATCCATTCCTCCAGCCCCTGCTAAGAAAGGGAAGTGAGGAACTAATCCCTTTAATGGCCCCCCATATAATCCCCTACAATACAAACCAGGTTAAAGGTCATTTTCATTCCTTGACCTCGAAACCCTACATGCAGCTAACTCATCCCTAAACCCTCATCCCTAAATCCTAAACCCTACATCCCTAAACCCTAAACCCTACATCCCGAAACCCTAAACCCTACATCCCTAAACCCTAAACCCTACATCCCTAAACCCAAACGCCAGTCCTCCTCGGGATCCTCTTCCTCCGTCTCCTCTTCGGATTCCTCCTCCTCTCCTGCAGCTAGGCTTTAGGGTTTAGGGTT